AGTTTTTGACTCAATTCTCACCTTTAAATAGCCCTCTAGTTTTACACTTAGAGGACATCAACAATCAACAAATCAATAATTTTCTCTATCTCTCACAAACATTTTTCTACGCATTTTTGGTTTATATTTAGGTTTTGTCTTTAAAATACAATTAATGTGTTGTTGTCTTTAACAAACAATGACCAACAAACACCCCATGAATTCTACGATTTCATTACACTTTGGGTTTTGCTGATTTTTTTGTTTTGGCCAATGATTTCATATGAGGTCTCCTTCTACAAGTTATCATCCAGACTTTAAATGGAGGATGCATTCAAGTGAATAGTTGAAAGAATTGTGTGATGACGCAAATAATGCTCCAATCACTATGGGATGTCTAAAAAGGTTACCTCGTATTTTACATTGGTTTTTCTCCCATATTGTGTGTCCCAAGAGTGGTGGTTATTCACGGGTAGACAACTATGAGATTCATCTTGTGTATGTTTTTCTCAACAACATCAAGATCAACTGGTTGTATTACTTTGTAACCAGAATGTTTACCATCAATGATTGCAAGAAAGGGACTGCTTTTTGCTTTCCATCAATGATAGCCAAAATTCTTAATTTCTTCAATATTTGCTTTCCAAATCTTGTGATGACATATCCAAGTCCTATTTTGAAATTCACCAAGAGAACTATGACAAACATGAGGTATCATTGGGATGCTACTAGAGAGGTGTAGTACTATAATAGTCCTGAAACAAGGAGAAGAATTTACAACTATGATGATCCTACTAAATATGTAGTTGGTGAAGATCAAGAAAATGATGATGGTCCTGAAGACATTACTGGAGTTCCATAAGATGACATTCCAATGGCTGACACAAACCATGAAGAAGATGAAATCTGACTGAATACAACTGCTGCTCAACGGCACGACCATGAGGAGGATTGACAACAAAAATGTTGGACTACACAAGGAAATCAATACACAAGAGATGGAGGAAGTTCTTATGACTATGGTGTAAACTCAAAAAATTACATGGAAAACAGCTATGAAGTTCTCACAATGCTTCAAGACATGAAAATTCAGCAAGATGCTCGTTATGAAGAAACTGTGGCAAGGCACAATGCTCAGATGGAGTGGCATAATGAATTTCAAAAATCACAAGATGAGCAATTCATAATGTTAAATGCCAGGATGAATACTCATGAATAAAACTTGGAACTATATTCTTCCAGAACTGATGCACATTTCAAAAGTCTTCATGAAGATATTCTAAGATCAGATGGAGTTGTGCAAGGAAAAGTGAACAACATCCATACATTATGTGTGAATCAAGGTGATGATGCAACTACGTTTTATGATGAGATTCTCATAAGAGGAAGAACTTATAAAAGGCAAGGAGGTGGTCCAAGTGAGCATTAGTGGATGGAAGTCAATTTTTGAGTCTTGTTTAAGCATCATCTATCATTAGTCATCATCTTCTGCATTTTCATATCATGAACGATTATTATGTCTTATTTGTTTAAGTTTATTTTGTTTTGTTGATGTATTTGAACAATTTTATACTTTGATCTAAAGCGCTTGACTTATCTTATATTATGTAAGGTTATGTACAAAATGGCCTTTGTTTGATGTATTAAATTTTACTTGTCATTTTGGATTAAAGAATATGATACTTCTCATAGTATTCCTTGTTTCTTTTTGATGTTGTTAAATGGGGAGAAGATATGTGCTATGATCAAGAATGTAAGGAAGAATTGGAAAATAAATGAAGGGCATATCATTGTATTTTTGCCATTATCAAAAAGGGGGAGTTTGTGTGTGAAATCTCTATCTCAACTTGAAAGGGTTTTGAATGATGTCAAAAATACAAGTTCACTTGTGTCTCTCTAAGTATTGCATGGCCTCTAAGATAACTTGATGTATTAGTCCATCTGAAAATGGTTAGGAAGTCATCACAATGGTGTTGAAAGGCTTGAGTCATTAAAACCAAGCATTTTGAGTCATTTTTCGCTACATGTGTCAACACATCCGAGTTTCGTGTCGATACATGTAGTTGCGTTTTAAAGCCTGTAAGCTTCTGTAAGTCATAGGTCGACACATGCACCCATACAGGTCGACACATACGGATTGGATTTTTAAAATGTAAAATTTTCTATTTTATGTGTCGACACATCCGTTTTTTAGGTCAATTCATCTAGTAGTGTGGTTAAGCTTGTAAGCTTCTGTAACTCTTAGGTTGACACATAACATTACTTCAGGTCGGCACATACAACCTAAACACAAGTATGTGTCAACAATATGAGTTTAAGGTCGACACATCCTGTTTGATTTGGCCAAAATTAACTTCTTTTTGTTCTAAATTTTCCCCTACTATCCTAATTGTCTCACAACTATAAATACTCTTACATGCATCATTCACAACTTGATGATACCATTAAAATTAGCCTACTCTCTCTCTCTTCTTCTTAAACCTTCCAATCTATGCATACACGCTAACATTACATTGTGATAATATTCTGTCGGGGTGCCATCTAGACGAAGAATTATGGATTTCCAATTGTTTTGGGTTGAGATTTTGTAAGGGTCTTCATCCAGGAAAAACCATCGCGTTTGTCCTCCAAGATCATTGGTTGATTTGGGGGTTTTTGTTTAAGATCGTTCGAAAGTTCATCCATGTTAAAGATCCCTTGGGGTGGTTGAAATCCTTTCAAGGAACCTTAGAGTGGTTGAAACCTTTTTAAGGAAGTAGCAAGGATTGGGTGATAGAATCGGTGATCTTGTGTTGATAGTTTGCAATCAGATTTAATCGAGCGAAAGATCTCTTGGGGTGTTTGAAATCCTTTCAAGTATCCTTAGGGTGTTTGAAATCCTTTCAAGGAAGTTGCTTAAGCGGAAAATAGGTTGCATCTATCGGTTGATTTTATCTTGTTTAAGATCAAAGGTTAGAAGAAGGGGCATCAACATCAAATTGAAGACTTTTGCATTGTTATTTCTAAATCTTCCATTGTATTAAACATTTTTCATATAAAAACTATCCTAAGTTCCATTGGAATTTAGGCGCAGACGTACTCATACACGAGGATGACAGTGAGGAACTGTGTAAACAAATTCCTCGAGTGCTTTTACTTTTCTGCTTTTACTTGCTTTTAATCTTATCAATCTTTTATCAAATAGTATTGTGATAGTAATTGAATTGTAAGATTTTTTCTCTCAAAATATGTTTTTGAAATACGTGTGGATATATCTTTTAATCAATTTTTATTATAAGTGGTTTTATATATCAACACTAATCAAAGAGAAATTTTGAAAATTCACTTGCACGCCAAGTGTTTGATAAAACGGTCAAATTTGTTCTTTGATTAATTAGCCTTGGAAATAGCATTGCAAAGTGGTTGTGTTCAAACAATAAATAAGTATATTATTGATTTGATTTTATATTAATCAATTACTCAGTTTTGTCTCATGGATTTACCTCTCATAATTTGTATATCAGAGTTTCCAATAAGTTGTTTTTAGATGACTTATCCAGATAATTGCTTTTGCGTTAAAAGTTTTTAAAAACATTTAATTTCTAGATTTGTGTCTAGAAATACTTTTGTCCCTCTATTCACCCCCTAGATACGCGACATCGTCTAACAATACATCCTCTTATGCAAAATCGAACTCATGTTCTGGTTCATAATTTGAAGAGGAAGATGGGGTATTTGCTAACTTATCTCATTATGATTTAATTAATCTTGCAAAAAATGTTAAGGGTGTGTGACAAGTTAAAGCCAAACATGTGAAATTATGAAAAAACGTTATGATCTCTTGAAATATGAATCATATTTATATAAAAACAAAGTTGTTGAATCTGAGAGACATCATATTACTCTAATTAATGACATGTCTAACGAACCTCTTAATAAGTATGAAAAGGCTTTTAACGAGTTTTTCATTTATGGCTTTAATAGAACAAAAATGGCTTCTATGATGTATAAAGTTAGTAGGAGCAGAGAAGAAGGTCTTGGCTATTCTTGAAAATATTTTGATCCTTGGTCTGGAACCTGGAACAAACCAGAAGAACCTTCTTCTCCAAGATCTAATAAGAAAGGATTGTATTCTTACTTTGTACCTATTGATAACAGAGTAGAGGTTTTGAATCAATCAGAATCAAGAGTTGATAAATCAGAAGCTCTAAAAAAATATAACTAGAGACCCCAAAGTCCAAGGTTCTCCAATGATTAAGAAATCTAAATAGGTCAACTGCTTTCCCCAGGCACTTATCCATTTATGTGTCTCAAATATGAAACGTCCTCTAACACATGTTATGTAACTGTTGACTAAAAACCATCAGGTAATGATGAATGTATCTTGATATTTGTGTTTCCTGTCTCCTAAATTATTAAGTCTCTTTTAAATCAAAAATTGGCTTTCACTCAAAAAACTGTGTGATCTGTATTTCACACACTCTCACATTTCACAACCTACACTTTCAGTTTTCTAACCTTTTCTGGAAAAAAACATTTTCAAATACCCTTTTAGAAACCCTAACTCCATTGTTGTGGTTTCATCATCATCTTCTCATCAAGTTGGGACTCGCTTTCTTGTTAAAAAAAAAGCTATGAAGATTTGTCAAGAGGAACTAAAGTTATTTGTAGAACAAATTGTGGATTTAGAATCATTCAAGGTAAATGAGTTTTCGCTGAAGGAACACTTTGATCATCAAGGTTGGCAGAACTTATTCGATATGCTAAATTTTTCTTGTTATCCTCTTCTGGTAAGAGATTTCTGGGTGAATTCACAAGTTTGTAAAAAAAGTTTCAACTTCTAGGATCAAGGAGATTGAAATAAGATTTGTTGGAATGGATGTTGAAGTAACTATTACTCAGGACCTCATTGCTAAGCTCATTGGTGTGAAGTATGAAGGGAAGTTTATTCTAAACTCTAAGGATGGAAGCAAAGAAGCTGATTGTATCATGTCCACCCTTTTATCAAAGAAAACGCTGTTGACTATGGTAAATTGAAGTATATGCATATTATGTACAAGCTTATGTTCAAGATTTTAATTTGTAGCCTGATACCTAGGGAAGATAGTACAAATCAAATACCTTGGGATCACAAGTACTTTCTACGAATCTTGGTTAATAGGGAGAAGATAAATATGGATGCATTTATTTTGAATCATCTTTGTGAATCCATCAAAGAAACTATAAAGAATCACAAGAGAAATGCACCTTATGTTACGATTCTCTCTAATTTGTTTCATTAATGTCGACTTGTTCAACTTCTGAGGGAAAATAATGTTTCAGATGTTCTGGGAGAAACTCATGGAAACATATTGTCTGGAGCTATTCAAGGCAACATTAGCATCATTAGCAAGAAGAATGTCAAGAAGTCTTCATCCCCTCTCCGAGTCAGTTATGCATGTTATGCATTTCTTTATAAATTTATATTCATAATTCAGAAGGTTAATCAAGGAGTAACTATGGAGCATATTAAAGAGTACATAAAGGAAACTGATATGTCTCTAAAGAAGTTTTTAGATAAAGCTAAAGTTGTGTGTCATTCATCTAGAAAGAGAAAGCTTACTACTTCTGAAGATCTCAAGAAGAGTTAGAAGAAGAAAGTTGTGACCTTTAAGGATACTCATAAGGAAGCAAAGGAAGGTGTATCCTCTTCTCTCTTAACGCCCTCTAAGATAAGAAATGGATCAACGCTTCAAATTTTTTTTACTTCTACCGTTGGAGTTGCTCCTATGATAAAGAAGAAGAAGCTAAGGAAAATGATCATCCTTGAAGAAGAAGAAGAAGAAGAAGAAGAAGAAGAAGAAGAAGAAGAAGAAGAAGAAGAAGAAGAAGAAGAAGAAGAAGAAGAAGAAGAAGTTGTTACGCCTCAAAAGAGAAGTTCCAAGTGGTAAAGCAGTTGTGCCAAGACCTGATAATTAATTCTGTGAAAATGGAAGCAGAAATGATAACATTTGGCTTCAAGGATAAGGTTGTTGCATATCCTTCAAATGATGAGACTTTCTATAGCCAAATTAAAGAAGTTGAAGCTACATCCTCAACTATTTTGAGGAAATAAGAAGGGTCTGGTTGTAAAAGTTGTAAAGCTCCCTTACATTAAACACTTAATATGCGTAAATATCGATAGTATCTCGATACCTCCCCCCTATTTGACAAATATAATATAAAAAAAAAGACTAAAGAGAAGAAAAACGCAATCACTTGATCCCAAGATAGAATAAAAGCCAAAATGGCATAAATAAGTCTAAACATGCTAAATTCTAATGATATGGTATGCATGGTATGAATCATCAAGGGAGATCACAAGGAAAAACATCAGCAAAATCAAAGGTACAAGGTGTAGCAGCAGTGTCATCTGAAACATGAATCGTGATGATTTTTGTAGTATCAGTAGAGTCAACATGAAAGATGTAGTTATTACTACCATGGTAATTAACAGAGGCCTTCAATGATTCAATCTGAGCAGCTATCTAACCTTCAGAGGCTTGAATATTTTCCTTCAATTGTACCCAATTGGCTTCATTGTCCCTAGCCACCGAGTTAATATGTGTCATGATACGCTCCTCTCTAATTTGATTGTCATCCAACAGCTTCCCAACCAACTAATCAAGATAAGTCTTTAACTCAACAGATAAAGAACCAGATGAAGTAGAATAAGTAGTAGTCTCAACATGTGGATCTCTAGTACGCTCTACAATCTTATCATCATAAATGTTTCTTCCAGACTCTTTAAGATAAAAGTAAGAAGCATATGCAGAATTCATGTAGTACCTCATCTTGAACACACCACCATAATCTAGAATCTTAGGTGCCTCATTCAAATATTCCTCCTTGGGCATAATGCCATTAATATCAAGTATCAGCTGAACAAAAGAATAGTAAAACAAAGGACTTTTCTTATTGTCTCTACAGTCAACCATCCTTTTGGAAACAAACTTTGCCAAGTTAACTCCATGACTATCAGTAAGGATCCACATTAGGTAGAGATCATTATCACCTGCTCTTCCCTAGATCCTTGGTTACCTGTAAAAAAACTTGACAATAATCCAATGCAGTAATCTCATGTCAAACTTGACTTGACTGATGCCAAAGTTTGACATAGCGAGGTTCTCACAGACAAGTTTGGAAATAGACAAAACATAAGGAACTCTATCATAATCAAGAAATCTCACATATGTGTCAGCACCACTAGAAGGAAAACCAAGATACTTCATAAAACCAGAGTAAGTAAACTTAAAAGTTTTATGCTTAAACCTACTCTTAAGACCAGCACAAGTCACAACAAAATTGCAGTAGAATGCTTTCACATAGTCATGATTATATTTCTTTTTCAAACCAATAAACTTCAACAAATTTTATTCAACAAATGGTTGCAAAAACTTTATTCTCAATTTAGTTTCAAATGAAGCATCAACATAATACTCAAGGTCTACGAGTTTGTTCAGAAAATTGTCTTATTAAAGTTGTAAATTATCCTCAAAGAGAAGATGTTTTACCTTGTGACATAATGCTTCAGTGGTTTGAACTCTGGTTGACTTCTTCTTGATGCTTCCATCAGTATTTTCCTTACCCATTTGAACTTTGATTCTTGCTTTCTAAGGCACAGGTGGAGAAGAAGAAGATATCATTGGCCTCTTGCCATGTTGCTTATTAGTGAGTTTCTTCTGGGGGTTTTGAGATGCCATTGACGATAATGAGAAAATGGGTTACGATGAGAGTGATGATAGATGAATGATTGATGATGAGAGTAAAAGAATGATGATGATTATGAATTAATTAAAATTTGCTCAAGGGTTTTGTGAATGAAAGATGCAGAAAAATGAGGAGACAATTGAAAAATAAGAAGAAGAAAAAGAAAATTGAATATGTATGTTCAAAAATGCATGACTTTTCAACATCTGGTTCGAATCATGTTTAAGTCTTGATTCGAATCATGAGTTTTTTTTTTTGAAGAAAATGCTCTTTGATTCGAATCATGTGTTAATTTTGATTTGAATCAAAATGAACAACCTCAAATGTTTTCAATCCCCAGGGCCATGATTCAAATCACGGACCGAGGCAAAAACTTATTATTCGAATAAAGAAGCATTTTTTATTAAAAAAAATGATGAAGAAAAGAGACTTTTCAAAATTTAATTTTCTTATGTGATGAAAATAATTTTAATGCACATAGAAATTTGACTTTAATGATATGTATGGATGCAAAGAATTTGAGTTTATTTTAATGCATATGCTTGAAGAAACTTTAATGCCGAATGCATAGATGTGAATGCCAAAAATAATTTTAATGTGTAATGCGAAATACAATTTGAATGATGATGCAAGAATGTATGGACAATGCAAATGAATGGAATGAATGGATGAAATAACAATTAAACGGGTGCATTGAATGAATGAATAATTATAGTATGAAATGCACAAACACATCACATACGCATACATCGTTCAATCACATAACCCACAAAGGCAAAAATAATTATAATTATGTATACATAAAAGAAATAAAGGAGGGTTGGAACGATCATACCAATTTAGATGATTTAGTATTAACTTGTTGCACACGTGAACTATTAGTCATCAACAACAAGAATAACATAAGCTTTAAAGTACGAACTAGTAAAGGACCCGTGTGTTCGCACGGGTCGTGAATGTTGATATAAATATCAAATAAATATTATATAATTATGGTTAAGAAATGTATATAAAAATATATACGAATTAAGAGAAAAAATTTCCAATGATGATTATCATATAAATATTAGTTTAACTTATTAAGTTGTAGTAGTTGTCAGGATACAACTTCTTTTAAACGTTTGAAGAATATTATCAGACTCTCCTCTATAAGACTTCAGATGAATTTTGAACAATAATAGTTTGAACATCATTGATTGACACAACTTGTCAATCCCAAATAATGGATTCAACTCTTTTACGATTGATTAACATTTTGAGGAGTAGACTTTTGTCCTTGAATCTTTTGTAATTGTTGAAACTTTAGAGAAACTGCCCAAAAATCATAACATGACTTTTATCTTCTTTTTACAAAAACCTTAGAAGAATAGGTAACTTAGAAGATGTTTATGTTTTCTTATTTCATCTCATAACAACTTCCAACATAATAATGTGAATGTATGCCCATCTTTACTTAGGATTAATTCGGAACAACCTTCAAGACATGATGTCAAATACAAACTACACATACTTCAGAATGTTGTTAGTATAATCCTGGATGACCAAATCTTAGAGAATGTATTAAATTCAATTAGTGTTTGAAGAACATACTATCAACGGTTTGCTTTGAAATAATCTATGTAATGCATTGCAATGAATAATCGGAGACAAGTAAATCAATATAATTTCATTGGAATTTATTGAATTGCGTAAGCTTCCAAACAATTAGAAAAACTCGTTTGGGATCGAAGGAACCATTTCCTCAATTTTTGGAGTCGCAAGACTTTGATCAAAAGCTCCACTATGATACCAATTGTTGGGTGAGAATATAGATATCAAAAGGAATGTAATGTGCCTTTGAATATACCATTTACCAATTAGACAAATTCAAAAATTATTTTAGGTTTTAAGTACTAAATCAGAGATTTTAAGAAGCACGAAAGCAAAACAAAAAATAAGAGAGCTTGTAAGCATCTCAATGAATTAATTCATATGAAATGGTATATGATGCTCTCTATGCACTTGATTGATTCAAATGCAAGTCATTCACAAGACTCTCGAGTAGCTTTTAAATAAAACTATTTCAAAACACTTAACTTATAGATTCTAATGAAATACAATTGAAGTCATAATACTTCAATAAGATTGATACACCATAAACTTAAGTTGATACATTAAATCGCTATAAGCAAAATCTAACTATTGTGGAACATGATCAAATGAAAAGATGCAACAATTCAATAGCATAATAATGAATACTAGAAAATAAAAGAGGTAAGGAAAGAAGAAAAGATACACAACAATATATAGTGGTTCGGTTATCGTCCCCGCATTTCCTTCTCCACTCTTCCATGGTGTTAAAAACCATTAGAAAATATCTTCCACTATTTTGATAAGTTTGATTAAAAGCACTTTGGTTACAATGACCTACCAAACGATAATTACCCTTATTGATGCAGATACTCAACTGCTTACAAAAACAAGATCTGTAAAAGATCTTGATCCAACAACCTCGCTATGCACAATAATTCTGCTCTAAGTATTCGTATGTGGAAATCCACCTGATTCCACCGATCTCTTGTTTGAGTGATTGCCATAGCCAATAGCTAATTGAAAAACTCTCAACTTTTTCTGCGACAAATCTTTCTCCAATGCCACCAAAGATGGATAACTTCTATCCCAACATACGGACAAATGATACTAGATCTCGCCAAAGTCTTCTTTGGAGTATAAAGGAAACTCTAATCTTGATGAATAAAAAAAACACCAAAAGACATTCAAGAAGTGATATATACACCTGTTAGAAACAACAAACTTCACACAAAAACATTAGATACCCTAATGTAACACTAGTCTCCCTCAACATTCATTAGAGATGAAGGTCCTCAATAATGGAACAAGACTAAGGATGAATATGATGAAC